AGGCCGCTGGAAAGGCCGCAGGGATCATCGAGGCTGCTGGGGAGGCTCTAAAACCACCGGAAGGTCTCCAAAAAAGGCCTCCAAGCCATTGAAATCAGGACGGCCAAAAAGGCCCTCGGATAGGCCACCAAACAAGCCGCTCGGCCATCGCGACCACCAGAGCTGCCACCACTGGGGGGCCGTCGAGGCTGCCCGAAGATCATACTTTCCTATGGACTCTGTAATGGTTGATTTCACTGACATGCCTAGATGTGGGTTGTACAAAGCTCTATTGGTTTTTGTGGATAGGTATACAGGTTGGCCTGAAGCCTTCCCCACTAAAACGAAGCAGGCAAGGGAAGTGGCTAGAATTTTGTTAAAGGAATTGATCCCGCGGTTTGGGAGCCCAACCCTTATCTCATCAGATAATGGGCCTGAATTTATACATCAGATTAATCGGGCTGTGGCCCAGTCAGTGGGGTCCAAGTGGCGGTTCCATAGTGCTTTCCATCCTCAATCGGGAGGTTCTGCTGAATGAATGAACTGCACCTTGAAAGAGAAAATCACTAAGATTTGTGCTGAAAGTCATTTGAAATGGCCAGATGCCTTGCCTTTGGCCTTGTATGCTATTAGGTGTGCACCTCGTAGACAATGTAAACTGTCCCCCTACGAGTTAATGTTTGGGTGGCCCCCTACCCTACTGCGACGGAATTTGGCCGGCTGGCCAGATTTGGGACATAAGGGAGGAGTGTGGGCACTGGAAATGGTACAGGAGCTGAATAGACAAGTAGAGAAGCTCAGAAACTACGTTGTTGAACAAACCCCGCCTAAGTTGGTGACCAGGTGTCACTCTTTTAAACCTGGGGATAAGGTATGGGTTAAACATTGGAAAAAGGAACAGTTGGAGGGTCGGTGGAAAGGGCCGTATGAAGTAATAATGGCCTCCCCTCTTGCTATCAAAATTGCAGAATCGAAGTCATGGATTCATTGGACAAGGGTTAAAGCGGCTGCTGACCCCTTGTGGAAAGTATCATCACAACCCCTGGCTCCTACCAAGCTCACTCTTAAACGTATTTAGTGTCTGCTTTATTATTTGTGTTCTTAATACTTTCCTTATATAGGATTTTAACCCTTTCTGAAGCTACTTTGCTGGAACCTTACCGGCAATAGGTTCCTCTACGCACAGTGGTGAAGATCCTTGCTGAGCCACACCGGAAGCTGGCTTTCTACGCACGGGAGAAGATAGGATGAAGATCTTTGTTATGTTTTATTATTTGCCTTTTTCCCTCGTTCTGGGTAATTATGTATGTGTTTCCAATTTAGGTCAGTGGAGCAGACCAGAGGAAGCTCCACAAGTGGTACTTTCTTATATGATTGGAACAGGTGAATGTGG